TAATTTAAAAGAACCGTGCTCATGAAGGGTAAGTTTGGAAATTTAAAAATGATGTGTATTATATGATCTTAAAAGGTTTTAAATGAGTTAAATTTTGTTGATTAAAGAAATGAAAGTAGCATGATATAATGCATAAGTAATTTTGTTGATTAAAGAAATGAAAGTCGCATGCTATAATGCATAAGTAATGAATTAAAAAAAATACCTATTGATATCATCATCTTTAATCTAAAGAGGCCTTTGAAGGAAGCAACAACAGTTGAATTATGGAAGAGTGACTCGAACTATAATTCTGCTATAATCAAAATCAACAACTCTTCTTACCTCAAGAAATTTCAGGTTCAGGATAATAACAAAAGTAAGTTGCCATTATTGCATCTAACCCAATAATTAAACACAAAAATAAACACCTGCAACCACTTGAACACATAAATAAGATGGACGCAAGTATAAAATGACAAAAGAGCAGTTGGATAGCTTGTAAAATCTCACATGAAAGGAAGCCCTATTGATGACACTACAAAAGAAAATATTTAAAAAAAATGCATGGATTCTCTTCTTTTTTAGCCATTCATGATCATATGACCTGGTAGCTTTTCTTCAAAACAAATGCAAAGTTGGATTCCTCTCCCACACCCACTTGCCACATACTCACCTCTAATATTTTGTTTTTATTTCACGTTCCAACACTGAAATTTCAAATCAAAACTTAAGTCGCATGCTGATGCATAAATGATATATTTTTAGAAGTAATATTTAAAAACATATGATCATTCATGTATTTGACTAAAAACATATGATCATTCATGTATTTGACTAAATAAGAGCTCCATTAGTTATCCAAGAGAAGAAGGTGAATATGAAAATCGGTAAAACAATATAATCAAACAAATTGAGGGATAAGCTTCCATGATCGTGTAATTTTTTATACCAAAGTCGTAGCCTCATTACTTGTTTTTCAACACTAAGCTTATCAAGTGAACCAGAATTTTTGACAGCCTTAGGTATAATGACTTGATATGAAAAAAAAAAAAAAAAAAAAAAAGTGAAGTATATGCTATAATTGGCTAGAATTTAAAAAGCATAGTGATTTAATAAAGAAAAAGATTGAGAATTCAATGATGTAATGGAAAGAAATGAAAGCAAGTTGTTATTCCTAACAATTAAAACACTGTACCTTGTAAACGGAAGATTGAAAGTAAGCTTCTATTTGAATGATGTAAACGATAGTAAGTTACTATTTCTTGCGATTAGCAGTTTATTATTACCTCTTCTTTCCTGAACCTATCTTGCTCATTTCCAGCTGATGTTCATTGATAACATTGGTATGGGACCAGGTAGTGGAAGGTTGGTTTGAGCTAATTCCCAGTAGAATCAGCTTGCTGCCCTATTACATACAAAAAAAAAAAATCAAAATATTGACTATTTTTTTTATGGAAAACTTAAATGGAATTTACTAAATAATTTTAAAAAAATGTACCTTCATTTGTTTGCCATAAAGAATGGATTAGGTGTTTCCCACTCAAATAACTGAGGTATTGGTTGGTAGCACTCCCATTAGGCCGCTACTGATTTACTTTCTAGTATTTCTATGGCCTTAAAGATCCTGATCATAGTAAACATGAGAACAAATTGGTTAGTCACTCATGAAATTCTTTATGACCAACTTCAACTAAAAATAAGACTTCTTAAGAAACGGAAACAAACATACCTATTCATCAACACACGAACTATGATCTAACCAATGATAGTCATAACTCATAACAATGGGTTTTCCAACCAAAAGAAGAGGATGTTTAGGGTATTTGACAGCAATATTTTTTTACAACATGAGAATGAAATTCAACCACTTTTCTGCTCTAGGATGAGGATTTTTCAAGCAATATCTACCAAAAGCTGTTTTTAGACAACCTGAAAATGTATTAGGATTCAAAGTTGCAAACAGCCCTAGCTTAATTTGATTTTTTTTAGGAAACTCACATGGATAGTAGAAAGTTACAACTTCGATAGCTTTTAGTGCATCAGCCAACAAGTTAACCCATCTGCATAACACCAAGCATCTTATTAATGTCGGTCAAAATAACAAATCTTTATAACCAACCATCTTATTAATGTTGCAAACAGCCATTGTTAGGGTTTGTAGCAATCTAATTTGTTCCTAATCCGATTAAGTTCCACGCTCATTTGTTCATAATAAATTGAAATTTCAAATCAATAATGTCTAGCGATGATTCTTCTTAGTAGTAATTTGGAGAAAAAATGTCAAAAGATTCAAAAATTAAAATTAATAAAAGGAAGAGACTGGTAGACTTCATCAAAGTAACAAAATAGATGAAAAACAAAATTTAAGAAAACCTAAATAAAAATATTTAAAACAAGAGGAAAAAAGTTATACCTTTTGTGATTGGATTTGTCGTAAACCTTAGCCTTGATGACCTTGCTATCAAACATTCAAAACAAAATGAAGGAGATTTATTAAAAGATCTTAGTTGACCATTTATCAATAAGAAAAAACAAAAAAAATCCAAAAAATAAAAAATCATATTACCTAATCACAAATTGAAAACCTTTATGTTACAATTACATCAGTATATTATTGGTATTAGCATAATTTTTGTACAGATGCCCTTGTGGAAATATGGAAAACTTAATATTGGTTTTGTTAAGCATCTAAAATGATAAATTAATTTCGCAAAGTGGAAGTTCTTCTAGAAATGGAAAACATTCCAAACAAGAAGAGTACATCAAGAGCATCATAATCAATTCATTTAATTCTCTTTTTTCAAGTCATTATAAAATTATCTACAACTCTAGTAGTTAATATCTTTTTATGGAAATTTAATATTTACGATCATCTCCAAGCCCAAATTAGCATCAATTTGATGCTAAATTTCCGTGTTTACTTGCTAATCTACCATATTAACCTTTTAAAGGAATTTACATATGTGTATCACAAAAGGGTCTCACATCAACAATACATTGATGTAGTAATGAATTCTATTAAAACAAGCAATGCTACTATTAGATACTTAATAGTGGATGTGGTAATGAATATTGTTATTAGATACGTAATTATTAGAGTACACTAACTGACCCAATAACCATGTTCGTCATCTTTCATACTTTAATTGTATGATCAAATAATGAGTCTTAACATTGGGTTTAGATTTGAATCTTAAATAATACATCTGTATCTTGTTTCAAAAACATGTAAAAAATAGGTTATTCTGAAAGGTATCTCTTGCAAGGTATACAAAAGGGAGAGCCTTTTATTTACAGGCATGAAATATGTGTGCTTTAAACAAAAAACAATAGATGGTGAAATCAATAGATGATACCTGAAACCAAGCCGCCAATAAAGTCCAACCAACGCCACAAAACATCCCCAAAACCATGGCCTGCAAGTGTTGACTTCCATGAAAGAGAAAGAGAACTTACATCACAATAGTTGTTAACTTCACCATCCAATGGAAAGAACCCGGATTGATAAACATGGAATAAGAACAANAAAAAAAAAAAAAAAAAAAAAAAAAGTGAAGTGTAATATAAATGTAAGGAAATCGGAAGAAATTGGTAATTGAAAGCATCAGGCATATTTTCTTCTTTACCTTCTAAAACGGGAAACAAATTAAGGAGCTAGCAACCAGCTTCGGGGGAAACGCCACCACCTTTGTATATCCAATATTGAAGGCACTTGCAAAGATGATAGCAGTATGCGGCCCATTTGACCGAACCGTTTCTGGTTTATACATCCTCCTTGATACGTTCATTACTGGTGACTTCCATCAAGTAAATAAAATCATGTAATTATGTAATAATCTCATGTAGCATCTGAATCAATATATATATAACAAGAAACATAAGCAAAGAAATACAAAAGGTAACCAAAATTATAGTCATCTCATCTTTGAGGCATTTAGTCAAACACTTGTTAGGCAATAAGAATAAGTTAAATATTTAGGTGAAGAACATTAGTAACTTTCATGAAGGAAAAAAATCGATTTAGCAACCCAAAACTGATAGCCTCATCCGAATAAGAGATAAATCAAGAAAGAAACAGGTGGAGTTTCAAGAAATTTCATGATAATATTTATGTTATCCTTTAATATATTCAAAAAACTTTGCCCGCTAATCGTTTGGTGATTTATGTAGAAGTAGAAGAACATAATTCCAAATTTTGAGATTTTTACTCATTTGGATTCCAGTTAAAAACAAAGCTTAAGAAATTGGTTGATTTCACCCATTAGTTTCCTATTCCCCTCTCTATTAAAAAATGAAAACAGAAAAGGAAGAGAATCAAGCACCTGATAGAGTATAGCCAAGTTGTTCCTGAACATAAGTGAAAGCCAATCGACGTCCCAGGAAAAGCAAATAGCTAGATTTAAAATCCTTGTAATAGATAAAACAAATAAAAGATAAAAACATGTAATTAAAAGCTTAATGAACAAAAAAGAGTACCTGTAAATTCAATGTCATTTTCTACCATCTCTTAGTAGAATCAGAACATGCCCTTCATAAACCCCAAATAAAAATAATAATAACCCTACAAGAAAAAGATGAATACTTGGGGGCTCTAATCAAATCTCCAACCCACCCCCAAACTCCACTTTTTCCGCCATTTCTTCCCCCGTTCTTCTCCAACCCTATCCCATTTTCACCTCAAAAAGATGGAGATATGAATAGTATTCCCCCATATATATGGGGGAATACTATTCATATCTCAAAAAATGGAGGTGAAGTTTGGTTGCCAACTTTAGTTCCTTTCATTTTTATTTTATAAATTTCTAGTTTATTTTATCTACTAATTATAATTTAAATGCAATATTTAATATTTATAATATCATGTTATATACTAATTTATATTAGTTAATCATAAATATAGAGTTTAATTAGTAGAGGGGTGTATTTGACAATATATATAAGTTATAAAAATGAAATATTTTAGGAATATACTTTTTGGGGTAAAAAATGGGGTAGAAAATGGAGTAGGGTTGAAGATGAAACACTATTTACTTCATTTTTTACTCCATTTATGGGGGGAAAAATGGAGATGGGTTGGAGATGGTCTAAGCGAACTAAAAATTTGGGGCCTCTAGTCAAATCTGGAAAACTGAAAACTCAAATTCGTTCCAACAATCCAACTTGATTCACTGATTGCATATTATGTAATTTGTTGTAATCAATTAACAATGGGTTAAAAAAATCCGATAAATGAAAAAATAAGAACCGAAGAGTATTAACCCGTGGAATAAAAAATCAGATCAAGAAAGATTCATTATCGTTTGAATCTGCTAAAGAACAAGAGATGTTGTATAGTCAGACAACTCAGAAACGATTTTGATTGAACATGGTCACTACCAATCTGCCTTCAATCGGGATTTTTAAAACAAACATGGTTTTGATCGAAAATAAATAAATTTCGATTCCACAAACCAAAGCCAATAACCCTAATCGGCTTTAAGTATTAAATGACAACATGACACATAATGGAAAAATAAAAGTGAAAAGTGAAAAAACTGCAAATATATTATCGTTTCAGTGATATTGTGAGTCTGTGACAGCCTTTAATGGAGAATGAAGAAGCCGAGAATTTGAAAGAAGAAGAAGAACATAATGTAATGTATTTCAGCGGTTTAGACTTCAGAGTGTTCAAGCCGGGAATGGAGAATGAAGAAGACCATCAATTGTCGCTTGTACAATAAGAAGAACATAACTTCTTTTGAGGCGTTAGGCTTGCAATGATTCCGGGAAAGGCGTGCCAGGAATTCGATTCTTTTTTTGGAACAACCAAATGGAATATGGACGAGGTAATAAGAACTTGGGTTTAAGTGGGGCCCTTAAAAGTATGGGCCCTAAGCCCTATCTTTGTTTATCTACACATAATTGAGCTAATTGTATCATCTTTAACTTTGAAAATCAGCTCCCTACGTTCCCACTACTTCCATCCTCAACAAAAAGATGTTTGAGAGAAAAGTCCTTTTGTTTATTGTAGTCACACTCCAAAAATTGAAGATTAAAATTAAAGAAAAAGATGGAATGGGCATGTGTCAGCGTCGATGGAAGAGGAGTCACAATAATGAAGAAACGGCAATCCTAGCTATTCATTTGGTAGATAAAACAAAAAAACATTTTTAAAATGCAAAATAATTGAAAATTTTCGAATTTTTTTTTTCATCGGAATTTATATTTTCCAAAAAAAAAACACCAAAAAAATAAAAAAAAAATCCATTCTTTTACATATTCTAGTAGAATAATAGAATATTCTACATATCTGATAAATCTAGTATAATATTCTAACATTCTAAAAATCACATTAGAATATTTACAGTGTAATATTCTATTAG